ACCCACCCACACCCACACCCACACCCACACCCACACCCACACCCACACCCACACCCTTAATTGAAGTTATCTGCTTGTTACAGAGTTCGATTAATATCAAAATATTATTGATTGATCAGTTTCCGTTTTTCTGTCTATTTATGTGGCATTAGACACTTGGAATACTTTGATCAATGCCTCGTCATGTACTTCAAACGTTAGAAATCCTTTAAAACTCATAAATGATTATTCGAAAAATCTACTCGAAGTCAGATGCTACAAATATTGTCTTTCCTTTCTGTATACACTGACTTGTCAGCAGTGTATGAGAATATTTACTAGCAAGATTAGGCTTTTTCCTTTTCTTATTTTTTTTTTTGCTTTTTTTTCCATTTTGTTGGACAATCGTTTTATGTCTATTCGATACTTTTAACTTCGTTCTTTCCACATAAAATGAGTTAAACTCAAGTTTAGTACGTACATAGATACGTCGTCAAATACTGAAACAAAAACCATGAAGAAATAAATGTTTACGAAATTCAATTTTTTTATCGTTTTCGGACACCGTTTGTTCTCATCTGATAATATAAGTAAGAGATTAGGTTTGTTCTCATAGAATGTCTTTTTTGAGGTTCTTATACGAAACTAGTAAGTTTTCTCTATAACGAAAAAAAACTTATGTTATACACATAAATAAAGTTCAGCTCCTGTTCATTTCAAAACTTTTCGTCCGCGACAACTACAATATTAGAATATTTCGGAGGAATATCCATTGATAGGAGTGCTAATATGGTGTTCTTGTGATCCATTTTAAGTTTTACATAATCTGTAGCGTGAGAAGTATCTGATGACATATTCATCAAAGTATTTTAAACGTCTGATACTTTATAAGTAGATCAAGGAATGGAAACTGAACCAATACCGTTGCAGGATTAATTGTCCTCAATAATAGGAAGAGAGGTTCAATCAATTTTTTCGTTCAGTCTACAGTAAAAAAAATAGCAAAAGTAGTCTTTTGACTATTTCCACTCAATGAAATGCGAAATCTGCATGCTTCGTTTTTGTAGCTCCCTTCAATCTCTACAAAATTCGCTAAGCATCGTTTCGAATCCTATCAATGTAGATCATGAAAAATTTACTTCAATGATCTTAAAGAATTATGGGATTTGTTAAAAAAAGAGTCACTAATTATAGAACTGTCATTGATTTTTATTGAACTAGAGTCACAGTTTTCTTGGTTATCCTGAGATTCGAACCAGATACTTTTTATTTCAACAAGGTTTTTTTATTTGAAAAATGTGAAGACAAAGAGAACTACACTCGCATATTCCACCTCGTTCCTCAAAAATCGATTTCAACATCAGTGTTAATTACAATTGATGTCACTGACATTGAATGAAAATCGATTGTGATGCAGAAAATAGATGTTAATCTATTGCACACATAAGTCATTTATTGAAATTCAATGATCATTGGTTAAAACATGCATTTTTATCAAAAACTGGTTATAATTGCACTCGAAGTTCAAAAAAAATGTACGAAATATTGACGTTTCTGTGTTATTTTCTGCCTTGTTAGTAGTTACTAGTGACTCTAAAAATCAATAACTAATGGTTCACGTAGGGGTTAATGTAATCTGGAATGGATGATGCTCAAAATTCATGCGGAGTTGAACTATGGCATTGAAGGCAGATAACCGATCTTTTCCTGACGAATACTGAAAAAAAGTAGAAAGGATTTTAAAATTTATAGAGACTATAGCTTGTATTGCTACCATGGTCGTATCGTTTAAGGTTTTTTATATTTGACTCGAAGTTTGTCAAAACGCTTCGTTCACTTACCTGTATTAGTCGCACTAACAGTTATTGGTGCTAATATAGCAGCCGTACTAACAGTTGTTGATGCTGATGCATTAGCCGTACTAACAGTTGTTGGTGCTGATGTAGTAGCCACACTAACAGTTGTTGTTGCTGATCCGGTAGTTGTGCTAGCCGTAGATGTCAATGCTATCGAGATAACAAATGTTTATCTAGCTTAGATTCTACAAACTTGTAAGTTGTTTCAAAAATTTCTCCAAGGTGTCGTGTCCAAAGCTTGATGCTATTAGATATGTTATAATCCTGGGCAAGTCATTAACGACTGCTTGTCTCACATTACTTATCCGATATTGTACTGTTTACATATTGATGTACGTGGGACCTCAAGGATAGTATGTTGTTAGTAAGTCCGTACATGGAGTTCAGATAACCGAGCGAAAGGACTCTAACTCAGGCTGATCTTCTGTCGCACGCAACAGCTAGCATTAGATGTAGAGAAAGCATCAAATGTAAGATAGGGTGTTGGTGTACGTATTTTCTTCACCCATACTCACACCCTAGTGTGTGATGGCGTATTCTACTAATACCTCTAAATAATGGATTCGAAGTGGTCTGGCTATTGTTAATTGGCAACTGGATGAGTTACGGGTACCAACTGACTAGAAATCTTTAACTGATAATCGTCTAAGTTACTAGTTGCGGGATAATGACATCTGAAATTAGTTCTTGTTTCTAGCAAAGTAGCTATCTAGTAAAGTTAACTTCGAATTTCTGGGGAATAGCACTGATAATGAACACTTTCATAGAGTTCTCAGGTACCGCTCGTGTACACACTACTTGAATTGTTTGTTTGAGCTTGCATTAAAATAAATAGAAATACAAGGGTGACGATGAGACCAGCTGCTAATATTGCGATTGCGCTTATCATCCCACATAGGCAGCAACATGTTAATCTGAAGAAACGAAAATAGAAAACCTTTCATTCCTTGCTGCAGCAACTCACGAGCCTGCAGCCTTTGTTCTTCGATTGTTTGACTCAAATTCATCAGAATCAGGTGTTGGGCTTCTAATCGATGCAACTTCGCCAACTGTATACATATTAATACCGAAATCTTTGGAGGATATTGCTTTTGGTTGTGCCGGTCGCTTTGCGATGATCTATATATTCAATAACATAAAGTAACTATCTTCATATTCAAGTAGATAAACAGCGCATACGAACTTTTCGAGGCATCATATGACGTTCGTAGTAATCACTAGGAGCCACTTTACTCATATTCATCATTTGCTGAAATGTTCAAACTAAGGCAAAGAAGTAAATGCAAAGCTAATTTTTCTTCTCTCTTATGAATACGTGTTATGTCTTATCTTTATCACTTTGTTTTCACCCTTTCCATTTTCGTTTTTTTCTAACTGACCGAAAACTGCCTAGTCATTGAAAGATTGAACTTGAAATCTCAATTTCTATCCTCAATGAGTGAAAAGCGAAAGGAAAACGTAATGCTACTTTTACAACCATGTAATCTTTCGAGAGCATTCCAAGTTCTAAAAATTGAAGCTACGCTTAGGTTCCGTAAATCTCTTCATAGACAGAGACATGGACGATTAGCAGCATTTCTGCCTGAATAAGATAGCATGACTATATAGAAATATTGAAATTTATCGTTATTGAGAGAAAATAGAAAAACCCCGATGAGAAAAGACAAGCAGTGTTGTTTTAAATCAGAAAAAAGTTTCGAAAGTATGGTCATATATTTTGATGATGAATTTTGACAGAATGAATGTGAAGACTAAACGAACCAAAACTAAGACAAGACGAAATAGCAACAGTATAGTAAAAATGGAAGAAGAACGGAAAGTTTCATAAAGATAAAAGAATTTAGAAAATATTCGAAATGAAAAGATAGAGCAAGATGCAGTTGATTGCAACTGTTCTCATTTTTGAAAGAGACTATTGCACCTTTAAAATCTTCTCTGGATAGAAAAATTCTGATTATCCGACTGATCAGAAGTTCTGAAAGATATAACATTTCGATTTACTTAGAATCACTTTTTTCAAAATTCTCATGGGTAATACAACCAGAAAAACTATGAATATATTCATAAACTCGAGCTCAATCAACTGGCAAAGAACGTAGCTCCAAGTCCTAAATTTTGTGAATATATTTATCTTCAGTTTTAGCATCAAAAAAAGATTCACGAATCATGTTCATCTTCGACACTTCTCCAGTCTTCAAAATAAATTACATGGTGAAAGTATCATTATATGTTCCGCAGAATTTTGATGAAACCTATGACGAAGATGCAAGAAGCAGCGAATTTCAAAGTGATCGATGGATTTAATGAGAAAAATCTTTTAAATCTTAAACATAAGACCAACCACATTTTAGATAAGTTTTAACCAAGGTTATATACTTGAGAATTTGTTATCGATTGTCCTTCAAAAATTTTCATGCAACCTTATTTAACATTAATCGAACTCATACCTATCAGAACTATAAACTAAAATTTTCTATGAAATGTTAAGACTCTTGAATCAGGATTAAAAGTCTCAAATTGCGATATAAAATAGATAAAGGTAATAAGTATAATTATATATGTTTAATCTCAGCACTTTTCATTAATTAGCTACGTGATAACATAACAAAGATGACAGGATTCAAACCTTACTACACATATTTTATGTTGCAATCAGAGAAAAAACAACTAAATGTAGTATGCGTATTCAAATCATTGTTAGAATAACAGTTCAGGATACACATCCATTAACTAATGAGATGTTTGATTTTTTTTTTGTTTACACATCTTGAATTTCTTTCTTCACTAATACTACGAACCATCTGGAATCATTATAAGTTCGGCAATGCAAGCAATCAGTAATAACGTGAGAGTATGGTAATGTAAAATTTTTTATTCATATTTTTGTCGAGGGATGATTAAAAGCTTTTTAAAGTTGATCCAGGAATGGATGGGTTACGACAAATGAGTGTATGAGAAAGAGAAGAACCATGAATGCTCATCCATCTATACACTCTTAACGATTGGAAGTATTATTGTGCGCGCTCTTCGTTCAACTATTTCTGAATCAACAATAGGCTGCGAATGGTAAAAATTTTTATAGATCATTCTGTTCAATGAAATATCCGAAGAGAAACAGCAATTGTATTGATTCCCATCGAAGTTCATCATTTTGTAAGCGATGTACTATCGGTTCTCTTTGAGAAGTGAGGTGCTCGGAAAGCCCACATTGAGTAATATAAGTTTTAAAGTAGTATAACTGAATGTATTCCATTTAAGAGCGATATTTTGATATATCTGACTAAGCGTTTGTCAACGATACTTTGTAGCAGATCAAACTTGATTGATCTCTCAGCTGCCCCACAATTCTTTACTAAACTCGGCTTTTCAATACAGCAGCGTGGTCTAATAGTTGGCAATAGAGCTCATTTGAGTAACTACCAAGAGTTTCATTTTTAGACCGAAGAATTAACTAGATGACTTTCCCACTCCACGAATGAAAAGAGAACAAGTGTTAAAAGTCGCACTATTCAAGCTTATTTGATGAAGCACTGCCTTATTATAATTATGGAGATCAATATGATTCCATTATCAAATTACAAAACTTTTCTAAAATACAAGTCGATTATTTTCTATCGAAAACTGAAAAGTATGCACAATTATCTGTACTAACTCGAATGATTGTAGACGTATGAAGAAAGAAAATAAAGTTATGTAAACAAAAAATCGAACATATTTTTTTTTACTAATGTTTTTTCATCATTTGATGGTCTTCTAACTACGATTTGAATTTATAGATTTGTTTGAGGTATTATTTCTCTAATGAGCTCATTTATGTACTTCAAAGCGAGCTCTTGAAGATAGCTCATTATTTTGATCGATGAGAACGTAACAGATCAAACTGATGTTTTTACAACGGATGAAACATGAAAATTGTTCAGATCAATGTTCGAGAGAAAATTTTTACATCAGCTTTTCACTGTTTTTGGTTTATATTGGTACCTCTACCGAGTTCCCTCTAATCGTATGAAAACAGTTCTGGATGTAGCTAATGTAATATCTCAGGACGTTAGCTATGCCTTCCAAAAACTTACTTATATTTTTTACTCTAAAAAATACACAATGCTTTATACTGAAAAAATTCGCAGAATACAGTGTGGGTATGGATGTTAATAATCTCTTCATCCACACCCTTGTGAGCTAGCTAACATTCATTTTAGATATATATCTTAGAAGTGAACGAGAAATGAAAACATCTACCTTATAGTACTAGTCATCAATGCTGATATTCAACTTACTCAATCAAGTATTTGCAAATAATTAACAGTAATAAGATGAATTAGTTGACCCAATCGAAAAAACTATACAGTTAATTTCTATATTCTTTTTATATTGAAATCAATTCTCTGCACTTATTTCTTACATCATTGACTTGAATTTCCATGATATTTTTCTCATAGCCATTTCATTTGAGTTTTTTCCTGGAAATAGAACCTTACCATTTCATGCTGTCAATTAGGATTTTCTTAATCAGAATAGAACTCATAGACTCCATTTGCTACCGATCTTCGTTGTTGAAAAACTGTATTGAGTATGATTAAAGTCAAAACTAGTCTCGTTTTTATTGCCTTCTCACTGGTTTTTTTTTACCCAATTGATAAATATGCATGACTTGGGATGTACCGAGACCGAGCCCCTCGGACTTGGTCAGGGTGTGGGTGTGGGTGTGGGTATGGGGTGTGAATGTGGGTGTGGGTATGGGGTGTGAATGTGGGTGTGGGTATGGGGTGTGAATGTGGGTGTGGGTGTGGGTGTAGGCAAACAGAAGAATCACATTCCGCACCCACACCCACACCCACACCCACACCCACACCCACACTCACACCCACACCCACACCCACACACCACACCGACACACCACACACACCCATACCCACACGCCATACCCACACCCACCCACGCCCCACATCCACATCCACACCTACACCCACTCACACGCACACGCACACCCACACCCACACCCCACCCACACCCACACCCAACTCAGCCATTTCTTGACGGATCCTTCTCATCTTCGAACTCGACCGAGATATTCTAAAGACTGAACTGTGTAAAAAATTTCATCGCGATCTGACTCTCCTTTCGAAAGTTATCGTGTAAACGGACGGACGGCCGGACACACTGACCGATTCTAGTAGTGTACTCACTTTTTGAGTACACTAAAAACGATCATGCCATTTCAAAACAGTCACTGATATATTTAAAACTCGTTTAGATTTTCTTAATTTGATAATTACTTATGAATAAATCTGCCATATAGACCAATTTCCCATCATTTGAACCATTCAAGTAATGATAAAAATCATTGTATGATTTTGACAGAATAACAACGAGTAAAAATAGACGATTTTATATCCTATAGAAATCCTTTTTAAAAATATTTATTGAACAAGAAACATAAAAGTTTGTGTAAAGCTAATATAGATTCAACATTACCTAAAACATTTTCGAATTCTTAGATATGTTACATAACATATTGTTATTGAAATTTTCTAGCTGAAGTTATTAGTATTACTCTTATATTATTTTGTTAGAAATATTTTTCATTTGATAGCAAGACTCAAAACTACGAAGAAAACCTTGATCGAATATAATGTATGGCTTTTCGTTTCATTACAGAAAGAGTGAAAGTTTTCTTGAAAATAGAATACATGAAAAATATTAGTTTTTTCTATCATTTTGACTTTGATGGCATGATTTATAATAGCTGATAACTATTCTATTGATAAAAGTTAAGAAAACGCAGTTATCTTTTTCATAAATTATTAATACTCATTAGAAACGAAAAAAAACATCTGTTAATCTCTAGAATCTAACATATGAATCCATTTTGATTCTAGTTTTTGTATTAATTAAGCGTCTTTATAGAGAAGATGATAATCACTAATTATTATTTCATGATTTTTCTATGATAGAACTCAATGAATAACCAATAATGTATGCCTCTTTGAAATACTAATATCATTTTGATACTCTTCCTGTTATCTGTCTTCGAATGAATATAATAATTCTTATAGACT